TATATATATATATATATATTTTAAATGTATATCCCAGAAAAATATTTCCCCTTTGTTTAACCTATCTATGTATTCATCTATATTTGGAAAAGGAGAATATAGTAGAGAACGTATAGGCCTGAGTTTAGTGAATGAAACTAATTAAGCTATTAGTAGAAGAAGAGAGCAAGCGATGAGAGGAAAATCAAAAGTACAAAATAAAAACAAAAGCAAAAAAACAAACAAACAACAACAAGAAAAGAAAAAAAATATTGGCTAGTGCATAAAGAGAAAAGACAAGGGTCCATGGACTTGGAACAGGGGAGAGGAAATTCGATATATGAGTAAGCCAACAGAGACTACTATAATAGTAATGTGTCAATAAAGCAGATAAAGAAGATTAACTTTTAACAAGTAGTAAAATTAAAAGAGACAGAAAAACTAACACAGGAATAGGAGAAGAGAAACAAGATGAAAAAGGTAGAAGTGAGGAAGAAAAGGTTGGCAAAAAGGAAAAAATGAGATAAATAATGATAAAAAAGTAAAAATAGAATGTAGAACAGTAATCCAAAAGAAAAATAAAGGGTTAAAAAATAAGTAAAAATAGAAATAATGATAACAAAAAATAAACATAATAAAAAATAAAGAAAAAGGAAAAAAATAATTTTTTAAGTAGAAGATAAAAAAGTGAAGTAATGAAGTGTCATTTGCTTTAGTTGAGTTTTAATCTCCCATGGGGCCTGATTTAAGACCCCTCTGTACTCTTCTGTCTGCCACGTCTATGTTTCCTGAAGATAATGTGCTCTACAACACAATACCAAGTGTGAAAGGAGACGGCATCTGGGTGGTTAATGAGCAGTCAGGCTCCATGGCTTTGTATCTCTGTCTGAAAATGCCCAGCACCAGACAGTTGTGGCTCACCTCTGTGATGTGTCCCTGCCAAGGTCACTGGGGTCAGCTTTAGCTCGTACTGCTCACTTTTGCAAGATGCTCTCTAAATCTCTGCTCCTCCTGGCTGAAGAGGGTGCCAGGTACAACCGGATTCCTCCCCTCATTGGGTTCAGCTTCTCCTTAAGCCCCCAGCTTCAGGGTGCATCTGTGGCTTTTCTCAGTGTTTCTCCATTCTTACCTCCCCAGTTTGCTCCCACTTGCCCACGTTTAACTGTTTCAGTGCATGGTATATTTATACATGAACAGAGAATCCTTTGTTGAATTATAGCTATTGAAATAGTTGAAACTCCAAGGGGATCAGCCTAAAATGACACACTAGATCAAATGGATTTAATTGATATCTTCAGAGCATTTTACTCCAAAGCAGCAGAATATGCATTTTTTTCAAGTGCACATGGAAACATTTTCTAAGATAGACAAGATGTTAGGACACAAAATAAGTCTCAATAAATTTCAAAAGATTGAATTCATATCAAGCATCTTCACTGACCATAATTGTATAAAACAAGAAATCAATCACAGGAAAAAAACTGAAAAACACACAAGGACACGGGGGCTAAATAACTTGTTACTAAACAATGAATGGGTTAACAGTGAGATAAAGGAAGTAATCAAAAGATACCTTGAAATGAATGAAAATGAGAATACAACAACCCCAAATCTATGGGACACAGCAAAAGCAGTCTTAGGAGGGAAAATCATGGTGTTATATTCCTACCTCAAACAAGAAAAATCTCAAATAAACTAACTTTACACTGAAAGGAACTAGAAAAAGAAGAACAAGCAAAGCTCAAAGTAAGGAGAAGGAAGGAAATAATATCAAAGCACAAATAAATGAAATAACATCTAAAAGAAAAAAGAAAAAATCAGTACAAAGGGTCAGTGAAACCAAGAGCTGGTTCTTTGAAAAGATAAACAAGAATGACAAACCTTTAACCAGACTTATCAAGGAAAATAGAGAGATGGCCTAAGTAAGTAAAACCAGAAATGAAAGAGAAGTAACAACTGACTCTACAGAAATACAAAGGATTGTAAGAAAATATGAAAAACTATATACCAACAAATTGGACAATCTGGGAGAAATAGATAAATTTCTAGAAACATCCAATCTTCTGAAACTAAATTAGGAAGAATAATGAAATTGAAGCAGTAATTAAAAAACACACCAAAAAACACCCAACAAACAAAAGTCCTGAACTGGATGCCTTCACAGGTGAATTTTGCCAAATAATGAAAGAACTAACACCTGTTCTTCTCACACTATTCAAAGTAATTCAAGAGGAAGGAAGACCCCCAAGGTCATATTACGGGATGTGCATTATCCTAATTCCAAAACCAAATAATGACACTACAGAGAAAGAAAATTATAGGCCAATATCCCTGACAAACATAGATGCTAAAATTCTCAACAAAATATTAGTAAGCCAGATCCAGCAGTACATTGAAAAGATCATATACCAATCTAGTGGGCTTTTTTTCTGGGGAAGCAAAGGTGGTACAATATATGCAAATCAATAAACATGATACACCACATAAACAAAATGAAGGATAAAAATAACATGATCATATCAATAGGTACAGAAAAAGCATTTGATAAAATCTATCACCCATTTATGATGTAAACTCTTACCACAGTGGGAATATAGGGAACATATCTCAACATAATAAAGGTAGTGCTTGACAAGCCTACAGCCAATGTCTTACTCAATGGGCAATAACTAAAAGTGTTTCTCTTAAGATTAGGCACAAGAAAGAGGTATCCACTTTCACCACTCTTACTCAACATAGTGCTGGAAATTTTAGCTACAGAAGAATTAAAACTGTCTTTATTTGCCGATGACATGATACTGTATATAGAGAACTCTAAAAATTCCACCAAAAACCTAAAATTTAAATGAATTCAGTAAAGTAGCAGAATATAAAATAAATACCCAGAAATCAATTGCATTTTTATACACCAATAATGAACTGTCAGAAAGAGAAACAAACAAACAAAAATCTCTCTCACAATTGCTTAAAAAAATAAAATACCTGGGAATAAATTTAATCAAGGATGTAAAAGACCTGTACTCAGAAAATTATGAGACACTGAAGAAAGAAATTGAGGAAGATAGAAATAAGTAGAAGCATATATCTTGTTCATGGATAGGAAGAATTAACATCATTAAGTTATACATACTAACCAAAAGCAATCTACAGATTGAATTCAATTCCTATGAAAATACCAATGGAATATTTCTACAGACTTAGAACAGGTGTTTCAAAAATTTTTATGGAACCACAAAAGACCATGAATAGCAACAGCAATCTTGAGAAAGAAGAACAAGGTTGGAGGAATCACCCTACCTGATATCAAACTATACTAATCAAAACCGCATTGTACTAGCATAAAAACATACATACAGATCAATAGAATGTAACAGAAAGAAATCCACACCTTTATAGTCCATTAATATTTGACAAAGGAGGTAGAAACATACAATGGACTGAAAATAGTCTATTCAATACATGGTGTTGGAAAATTGGATATATATGTGTAAAAAATGAAACTAGACCACCTTACACCACACACAATAATAAACTCAAAATGGATTAGACTTAAATTTTAGACTAGAAACCATAAAAATCCTTAAAGAAAGCATAGGCAGTAAAATCTTGGGCATTTCTCCTAGCAATATTTTTTCTGATATATTGCCTCAGGCAAGGGAAACAAAAAAAAATCAGATTGGACTACATCAAATTGAAGAGTTCTTGCACAGCACAGGAAACCATCAACAAAATGTAAAGACAAACCACTGAATAGAACATATTTGCCAGTGATACATCTGATAAGGGGTTAATATCCAAAATTTATAAAGAACTTATAAAACTCAACACCAAAAAAACATTCAAACCTATTTAAAAAAATGACAAAAGATCTGAATAGACATTTCTCCAAAGAGGACGTACAGATGGTCAATAGATATATTAAAGTTGCTCATCGTCACTAATCACCAGAGAAATGCAAATTAAAACCATAATGAGATACCACCTCACACCTGTCAGAATGTCTATCATCAATAAATCAACAAACAACAAATGTTGGTGAGATTGTGGAGAAAAGGGAACACTAGTTCACTGCTGGTGGGAATGCAGGTTGGTGCAGCCACTATGGAAAACAGTATGGAGTTAATTAACAAAAAAATTAAAAATGGAACTGCATTTTGACCCAGTGAATACTCTTCTGGGATTTAGCCAAAGAAACCTGAAATACTAAATCAAAAGAAAATATGTACCCCTATGTTCATTGCAGTGTTATTTACAATAGGCAAGACTTGGAAGCAGCCCATGTGTCCATCAGTAGATGAGTGGATAAAAAAGCAGTGGGACCAGCTGGACTAACCTATGAACCAGGAGGCCACGGTTCAATTCCAGGTAAGAGCATATGCCCAGGTTGTGGGCTTGATCCCCAGTGTGGGGTGTTTAGGAGACAGCCGATCAATGATTCTCTCTCATTATTGATGTTTATCTATCTCTCCTCCCTTCCTCTCTGAAATCATTAAAAATATATTTTAAAAACAACCATTATTTAAAAAATAAAAAAAGCAATAGTACATTTACACAATGAAATACTACTCTGTGATAAAAAAGAAAAATTTAACTTTTGGGACAGCATGGATGGACCTGGAGAACATTATGCTAAGTGAAATAAGCCAGATAGAGAAAGACAAGTACCATATGATTTCACTCATATGTGGAATATAATAAGCAAACTGAACTACCAAGCAAAATAGAGACAGACTAATAGATAGAGAACAGGCAGACCACTCTGGTCAGGGGAGGTATGCTGGGGATTGGAGGGATTGAGCATAAAGAAAGATAACTCATGAACAACAGTGTGGTTTTTGTGGGGGTGTAGAAGGATGGGTGGAGGTGGAAGGGGGTATGAGGGTGATAAAAGGTGATGGAAAAAAATAAAAGAAAGGTAAAATATGGGTCAGATCTGATCATTCCACTGCAATTAAACAAATTCCAAACATTTTGCTATGGTCTTTAGGTCTGATCAGACCTCTATCTTCATTCATTGTCTTGTTTTTTCTTGTTTTTTTTTCATTCACTATGTTCCAAACATGACTTCTTTCTCTCCCTTGAGTATTCTAAGCTCAGTGGCACACGAGGGCCTTTGTCCTTACTTTTCTGTCTTTCTGGATCTCTTCTCCTATATTTTTGTGTAGAGTCTCCATTCATAGTTCAAATAGTTCAAAGGTCATCTTCTGAGAGAGGGTTACCCTGACTCTCATGTTTTTCTTAAACTTTTTACTTCATAACTGAACTATCTAAATTTAATCTTAAATATTTATTGACATATTTTTAAATCTCATTCCACTAGAATATAATGTCCAGCAGTGTGTCCATCTGGTTTACTGCTATATTTTCAACATCTATAATAGTACCTGGTACATAATAGGTGCTCAGTAAACATTTTTGAACTAAGGAAGGTATGAGTGAAAGGTAACTGGAGGCTAAAAGAATCACTGAACTTGTTACATGTATTACTAAGTAGTAATAATAAGTATGTTTTTAAAGTATGAAATATTTTATTTTTCAGGATTAATTGGAATACCTCAAAATGTCAGGTAAGTTTTTGTGAATAAGTTTTAATATGCTTTATTTTAAAATGTGAATTTTGTGATTGCTTTCCTTAAAAATTATAGATTTTGCCTGGCTATATGGCTCAGTGGATAGAGTGTTGGACCTTGGATTGAAGGGCTTCAGGTTTGATTCCGGTCAAAAGCACATACCTTAGTTGCAGGCTTTATTATCCTGGCTCCCAGTCGGGGACCATGCAGGAGGCAACCAATTGATGTGTCTCTTTCTCCCCCTTTTCCTTCCATTTGCTCTAAAAAATCAATGGAAAAATATCCTCAAGTGAGAATTAGAAAATAATAATAATTAAAAAAAAACGTATCCTCAGTGAAGATTTTAAAAATTGTTTGAAGTTTATTTCATTTTGAATTTTTTTTATTAAGTATTTGGAGAGTATATATTCATGTACGTATACTTATTTATACATATGAGCATTCCTTTCTATCTTTAACAAAAAAGGGTTAAAAGGGATTTACATTGGCATATATGTGTGGAAAGATCTCTAAAGTATGTGGGGAAATTTGGATAAAGAAAAATACAGGTAGAAAAGTAAGTCTGCAAAGAGAGGTAGTAATAAAAAGCCTGTGACAGCAGCTTGTCTTCATAGAGGAGGGCTCAAAAGTAGCCCCTGCATTTTCAAGCAATGCAAGACATGATACAAGGAGAGAAACACACTGTTTATGGGATTTGTGTGTGTGTGTGTGTGTTTGTGTGTGTGTATGTGTGTGTGTGTGTGTGTGTGTGTTTGATTGTTTTTAGATAAAAGTCAGTTAGTTAAGAGATTCAGAACTTTTCCTTATAGTGAGTCCAATGAAAGGGTTCTCTGATTTCAACAAGAGGAAAAGTGACTTCAGTACTCCCTTGAAGCAATCGGGGTGACTTAGGTCTTTCAGGATGAATAGGGCAGAGTGTGAATCCCTGGAAATGTTGACTAAATCACCTCTAATTGAACTGCATATGTCACCACTGGCTTTTAAATCATTTAGTATTCATCATGCTCTGTTTTGAATTTACTAAGTATTTATCGTGTTATGTTTTGAATTTATTTAAACAGCCATTTTCCAAAATGGATTTATGAAAAATCTGATTCACTCTATATATGACTTTACATACTATGAAAAAGAATTTTCGACACTGTGAAAGGAAGTTATGTAGGTAGGAATCACATCAGAACAGCTGAAGCTAGTAGCTGAAAGTTCCTTGCTTTGATCATAGCACAATGGTTTAATATTTTCATTTTTAATCCATATTCAGCCTGAAAATCTATCAAATACTATAATAGGTTGATGTCTAATATACTTATGAATTATGATTTTTGTATGAAATATGAGTGTATTACTTATTGGTTATATGCAATGGTGCATGCCAACAAGAAAAAGTGAATGTATTCTGTTATATTATCATTTCCATTGTAAATCATGTGCCCTATCTTTCCCCAAAGGTGTAGTCCCCACAGCCCCTAAGCAACCTACAGATGAAATGGGAAATCAATTAAAGTCACCTGATCCAAGACCTGATGCCCCTCCAGACTATAATTCCCATTTTGTACCAGGTACGTTAAATATTCAGAAAGGATTTTTCCTCTCTCCAGACAATTATACTAATATTTAAGATTGCTTTTAAAAATAATTAGGGCAGTGGGTGGAGGTGGAAGCAGCCAAAGAGGGGATAAACGGTGGTGGAACAAATAAAATAAAAGCAAAAATAATGCCTAGCCGATGAGGCTCTGTGGGTGAGCTTTGACCAGGAGGTCACAGTTCAATTCCGGTTAGGGCATATGCCCAGGTTACAGGCTGGGCGAGCATGAGGCAGCCGAACAATGATGCTCTCTCAGCACTGATGTTTCTCTCTCTCTCTCTCTCTCTCTCTCTCTCTCTCTCTCTCTCTCTCTTTCTCTTTTCTTATCTGAAATCAATAAAAATTCATACAAAGAATATCCAAACATTCAAATAATAACTAAAACCTATCCTCCTCAGGCTATTCCAAAAAATGCAAGAGGAAGGCACACTTCCAAGGATTTTCTATAAAGCCAACATTACCCTAATCAAAAAACCAGATAAAAACACTACAAAGAAAGAGAATTATAGGCCAATATCCCTGATGAACATAGATGCTAAAATCTTCAACAAAATTCTAGCAAACTTGATCCAGCATTACATTAGAAAGATCATACACCATGACCAAGTGGGATTTATTCCAGGGATACAAGGCTGGTACAATATCCATAAATCAATAAATGTGGTACCTCACATAAACAAATTGAGAGATAAAAGTCAAATAATCATATCAATTAATGCAGAAAAGGCATTTGACAAAATCCTGATAAAAACTCTCAGCAAAGGGGAATAGAGGGATCATAACTCAACATAATAAAAGCCTTATATGGCAAACCTACAGCTAACATAATACTCAATGGGCAAAAACTAAAACCATTTTCCCTAAGAATAGGAACAAGACAGGGATGCCCACTTTCACCACTCCTTTTTGACAGAGTACTGGCAGTGCTAGCCATAGTGATCAGACAAGAAGGAGAAATAGAAGGCATCCAAATTGGAAAAGAAATAAAACTGTCATTATTCTTGACAAGATATTGTACATAGAAAACCCTAAAGACTCAGTAAAAAAACTAATAGACTTAATAAATGGATTCAGCAATGTAGCAGGATACAAAATTAACACCCAGCAGTCTGTGGCTTTTTTATACACCAATAATGAACTCACAGAAAGAGAAACTAAAAAAACAATCCCATTTAACCATTGCAACAAAAAAAATTAAGATACCTAGGAATAAGTTTAACCAAAGAGGTAAAGGACCTGTACTCAGAAAATTACAGGACACTGAAAAAAGATATAGAGGAAGACATAAACAAATGGAGGAATATACCATGTTCATGAATTGGTAAAATCAACTTTATTAAAATGTCCTTACTTCCCAAAGCAATCCGTAGATTCAGTGCAATCCCCATTAAAATACCAATGGCATATTTCAAAAACCTAGAACAAACTCTCCAAAAATTCATCTGAAATAAAAAAGACTCCAAATAGCTGTAGCAATCTTGAGAAAGAAGAACAAAGTTGGACGATCACAAGACCAGATCCCTACAAAGCCACTGTTCTCAAAACTGCCTGGTATTGGTACAAGAACAGACATATAGACCAGTGGAACAGAACAGAGAACCAGAAATTGACCCAAGCCATTATGCTCACTTAATATTTGACATAGGAGGCTAGAGCATACAATAGAGTCAAGACAAGTCTCTTCAATAAAAGATGTTGGACAAATTGGACAGATACATGCAAAAAAATGAAACTTAGACCACCAACTTCCACCATACACAAAAATAAACTCAAAATGGATAAACATAAGATGGGAAACCATAAAAGTCTTAGAAGAATCCGTAGGCAGCAAAATATCAGACATATGTCCTTTCAGTATTTTTACCGATTCAGCTCCTAGGGCAATGGAATCTAAGGAGACTACCTCAAAGTAAATAGCTTCTGCACAGTGAAAGAAACCATCAACAAAACAACAAGAAAAGCTCACTTTATGGGAGAAAAAATTTGCCAATGTTATATCTGATAAGGATTTAATCTCCAAAATTTATAGGGAACTCATACAACTTAACAAAAGGAAGATAAACAATCCAATCAAAAAATGGGCAAAGGACCTATCTAGACACTCTCCAAAAGAGGACATACAGAAGGCCAAGGGACATATGAAAATGTGCTCAAAGTCACTAATCATTCAAGAGATGCAAATCAAAACAACAATGAGGTACCATCTCACACCTGTCAGAAGGACTCTCATCAACAAATCAACAAAGGACAAATGCTGGCCAGGATGTGGAGAAAAAGGAACCTTTTTGTATTGCTGGTGGCAATGCAGACTGATGCAGCCACTGTGGAAAACAGTAAGGCGTTTCCTCAAAAAATTAAAAATGGAACTTCCATTTGATCCAATAATCCCACTTCTGGGAATATAGCCCAAGAAAATAGAAACACCAATCAGAAAGGATATATGCACCCTTATATTCATAGCAGCACAATTTACAATAGCTAAGATTTGGAAACAGCCTAAGTGCCCATCAGCATATGAGTGTATTAGAAAACTGTGGTACATCTACACAATGGAATACTATGCTGCTGAAAAAGAAGGAACTCTTACCATTTGCAACAGCATGGATGGAACTAGAGAGCATTGTGCTAGGGAAATAAGCCAGTCAGAGAAAGATAAATATCACATGATCTCACTCATTTGTGGAATATAATGAACAACATAAACAGATGAACAAAAATATAACCAGAGTCATAGAAGCATCGAACAGACTGTCCAACCTATGAGGGAAGGCAGGGTGTGAGGGGGTAAGAGATCAACCTAAGGACTTGTATGCATGCATATGAGCATAACCAATGGACACTAGGGGGGTTAGGGCAGGTGCTGGGGGAGGGAGTGGCTGTGGAGAGGTCAATGGGGGAAAACGGAGACTTATGTAATACTTTAAACAATAAAGAATTATATATATACTAGAGGCCCGGTGCACAAAAATTTGTGCACTCGGTGGGGGGGGGGTCCCCTCAGCCCAGCCTGTGCCCTCTTGCAGTCTGGGACCCCTCAGGAGATAACGACCTGCTGGCTTAGGCCTGCTCCTGGGTGGCAGAGGGCAGGCCCAATCCCTAGGTGCAGCCCCTGGTCGGGCTCAGAGCAGGGCTGATTGGGGAGTTGGGGCGCCGCCCCCTGTCATGCACAGAGCAGGGCAGATTGGGAGGTTGCGATGCCACCCTCAGTCACGCTCAGGGTGGGGCCGATTGGGGGGTTGGGGCACCGCTCCCTGTCACACTCAAGGCAGGGTCGATGGGGAGGTTGCGGCGCCACCCCCTATCACGCACAGAGCAGGGCCAATCAGGGGGTTGGGGAGCTCCCCCCTGTCATGCACAGAGTAGGGCCGATAGGGGAGTTAGGGCACGGCACCGCCCCCTGTCACTCACAGAGCAGGGCCGATCAGGGGGTTGGGGCGCCGCCACTGTCACACTCAGGGCAGGGCCGATGGGGAGCTTATGGCTCTACCCCATCACAGACAGAGCAGGGCCCATGGGGGGGGGGGGTTGGGACGCCCCACCCTGTCACACACAGAGCAGGGCCCATCAGGGGGTTGGGGCGCCTTCCCCTGTCACAAACAGAGCAGGGCGGATAGGGATGTTGTGGCCCTGCCCCCTGTCACACACAGAGCTGCAGGGCGATCAGGGGGTTTGGGCGCTGCCCCCTGTCACACTAATCTGGTGCCAAGAGGCCTCGTGGCTCCACTGATCCCGGTGCCTGGAGGCATATTACCCTTTTACTATATAGGATAGAGGCCTGGGGGCCGGCTGGTTTGCCCTGAAGGGTGTCGTAGATCAGGGTGGGGTCCCCACTGGGGGCCTGGCCAGCCTGGATGAGGGGATGATGGCTGTTTGCAGCTGGTCACACACCCTTCAGGGTGGGGGTCCCCACTGGGGTGCCTGGCCAGTCTGGGTGAGGGGCTGAGGGCTGCTTTCAGGCTGGCGGTTGTTGAATAAAGCTCCCAACTGCTCCTTTTTTTTTCTCTTTTTTTAAAATTTTATTCTGGGCCAGCTTTAGCTCTGGCTCTAGCTCTGAGGCTTCGTATCTGGTTTGTTTGCATTCTATAATCGAAACAATGTATAACTTCAGCTCTGAGATCCCGGCAGGCTGAAAGCTGGTTTCTGGAGTTTTGTTTCACTTCTACATTTGCAACATAGTACATAGTTGCTTAGAGTTGCAACTCAGAGGCCGGCAAGTCAGGCGGGGAACGTTGGAGTCTGCAGTCCCTGGAGCAAGCAAGCCTCATGTTCGCTTCCAGCTGCCTGGCTGCCGGCCGCCATCTTGGCTGACAGTTAATTTGCATATACTCACTGATTAGCCAATGAAAAGGGTAGCGGTCGTATGCTAATTACCATGTTTCTCTTTTATTAGTGTAGATATATATATATATATATATATATATATATATATATATATAATTATAAACTAAAATCAAAATTAATTAATTGAATGTTTCAATAAAGATTGACTGACTACAGGGTGCCAAGTAGTTTACTAGGTGTCAATTAAGAACATATTCTTTTCGTTATTGTTGTTAATCCACACCTGAGGATATTTTGTCCATATATTTTTATTTTTGTATTTTTTCCATTTTTTAAAAAATTTATTGTTCAGATTATTACAGATGTCCCTCTTTCCCCCCCCATAGCTTCCCTTCACCTGGTTCCCACCCCACCCCAGGCCCTCGCCACCCCACTATCCTTGTCCATAGGTACTGCATACATGCATATAAGATCTTTGTCCCATCCCTTCCTGCACCCCTTACATCCCCTTCCCCCAGAGAATTGTCAGTCCACTTCATTTCCATGCCACTGATTCTATTACATTCACCAGTTTATTCTGTTCATCAGACTTTTTATTCATTTGATTTTTAGATTCACTTGTTGATAGATATGTATTTGTTGTCACTTTGTTGTTCATAATTTTTTATCTTTACCTTTTTCTTCTTCTTCCTC